CCACACTTCAAAAGGTTGATCCTGCGCAAAATGGCAGTTGTTCAAAGATTTCTTGAATCCGCCATTTTGAATCTTTGAATGACTGCCATTTTTTACTCAGGCATTCTGTTGAGCTTGAATTTACGGCATCGTAATCTAAAAGTGAATACCTTTAATTTGATGTGCATATCGACCTATTCTTACGTTAAAAATTTTCTTCAGATTCCTAGGGCTGTGCCCCCTGAGGAGAAAGCGTATAATAGCAATGTAAATTAAATGAATCTTTCAACAACTGTCATTTTGCGCAGGATCAACCTTTTGAAGTGCGGTTTGCGGCATTGTATTCTACTAAAAAAGACCTTTAATTTGACATCAAAGACCAAACTCGACCTATGCTGCTATTTAAGAATTTTGTCTGACTCCTCGTGGGCCGTCCCCCGTAAGGGATAAAAAAGTTTTAATAGCTTAAAAAAGTAGACATTTGTGGCTGTTATTGATATACCAAGTCTCATTACTTTATCTGTATTAGTAAAAAAGATATTAAACCGTTCCGGGGCTTTTCAATCACACTGTAGATCTAGAAGGTCATACAATAATGTACTGACAAATTAGAGCAGCTTTTTTTTATTGTAAAACCTTGCCAGATTACAGGGTACAAGGCTCAATATGAATAATAGTATAATAGTAAAAAAAAATCAATTTGTACAGTTTCCTAACGTTTGAATCAGACTAGTTTACACTCTGTGGTTGAAGAATGGGATGTGTTCGGAAAACAATAATTTCGCTTGTTTAGTAGGTCAGATGTTGTTTGGTTTCAGCAGCCATTAACTTTTTACATGTCGTTTGTGTTGGTTTTATTGGCAGTTAGATCCTCGTCCAGCTTAGAGATAAAAGAAAACGACATGTGAAGTGCCAAGATCAAAGTTCAAGCATTTGGCTGTTTTCAAGTGAAGTTCAGTAGTAAACATTGCCATATGATATGAAGGAGGATCATGTATTATTTTTCAATTAGGTATAAATTTTGTTTGACTTTTAGTAGATAAGTTTTAAAATACAGAGAAATACATCTTCTTTGTAGAAGCATGTTAATTTCACTAGATGGACTTAACGCTTTAAATAGGCTTCGAACTACTTTGCATTAGTAACGCATTTACACAAAGCTAAAACCGTCGAAATATTGTAATTTACTGAATATAAACTCGGGCCTTAAAAGAGATTCCGCACCCCTTTCAGTTGTAGGTTAAATATATAGTAACTGTATAAACATTTTTGGTTAAAAGCTAAAAACTTTTACTCAAGCTCACTTGTGCAATCATAGTTTATATTAGAGAGAAAATCTAAAATATTGTTAGGAGTACAATCATATTTGTTTCTACATTAGTTTTGTTCCCTAATTTATATACACAATTGCATTTAGTATTAGCACTGGATTAGTTATTGTTAAGACGTTAATCCTAAACAAAAAAATGAATTTTATAAAAATAAACCAAAAACTCATCTTTACATATTTTTTTACCTACTTTTATAAAGTAATTAACTATTGTTGTTGGTCTTGATAAATCTATTTTAGTGTCACGTAACCCTCCTTTGTTGTTATTGAAGGTACATCGTCTGACGGATGTCAGATATAATAAAAGCTATTGTAAAGCAGATATTTCCAGCTTGCTTTTCATCATTGGCTGACGTCTTCCTACGCAAGGTACAGTCAATGTCGATTGTTGTGTAAATTCTTACTCTAGAGGTGATTCTGGTTTTTTGTTCTCAGTTGAAATAACTTTCGCTTATTTTTGACATTTATTATCCAGCTTTAAGATTTATTGAAGATAATTGTAAAAAAATATATTTAATTTAATTCAATAGCAACCTTGCTCATACACCAAAATATTTTTTCCATGGGAGTTATTTCAAAAGCCCTTACGGATACCTTCAACCTTAATTAATATCCTCATTGGTTTTTTGCAAATTTCATAATTACACTTTAAATTTTTCCTACCGGTAATTGTTCTTGGCCAAAACCCACTCATGGGGCCTACGACCGGTAATATCTGTCCCAAGCTAAATAACGTATATACGTTTCAAACATAGCAGTATTGTTTGTAATATTCGTATGAAAAATATTTCGTTGTTAACCCATGACACCAACAGGATAGTTTACCGTCTGCTCCGCTATTTTAAAACTGTTCATCGGTATTGATATTTTTTATGGACCAGTGGACAGTCACCTTCAGGTACAGACACATTAAGGTCAATGTACATAAAGGTTTTCCTTTAATTGTTAGGAGGGTTCATTATGCAAAATTTGCTTATTTGACATTTTTATTGGCCTGTATTACTGTTATACAAAAGTATCAACACCATAATAACAATAAAATCATTATAACTGTCTGTATCAATGATAAAACACACTCAGGAATGAAAATAGTTTCTAGTAAGATCCAACCCTTTTTATCAAGTAGCTAAAGTATATTTTTCCTTGACTTGGCTTAAGGTTGAAAGAGAACCCAATACAAATGCCATCAATGCCTTTACCCAATAGCCCCAGTCCACTCAGCTTATTGATGACTACAATATTTTACTTCTAGTCCCTCGTATTTATTCTACAGGTCACAGAGTATATTGAACTCATCTATTAGTAGCCTTTAGTTCAATATTTAATATACTTCAATTTAAAAAGGTGATAAGTATAACACGACACATGCACTGTTAAAATGTTCGATAATGGCTAATAATCAATGTTAATCCGATTATATGAGCTAATTGAAACTGTGTATCGCTGTTCCTGGAACTCTATCATTTTCATGATAAATAATTTTAATATGCGCATAAATATAAGTGTTCATAAAATAAAAAAAACATTTAATATTGTTTAATAGAAACTTCCCAACCATATACGTGTATGCTTCTGACATTTTCTTTGGAAGTAACGTCTAATTCTTGATGATTTTTCACCATTTATTTTCTGCCTTACAGGTGCAATTTCCATCATTTTCTTCTTGTAAGACAAAATAAATATAACATTTTTAAATATTTAAAAATTGCAAATATAAATGTTGTTATTATTAAAATACATTGTCAATGCAGTTCACTTGTCCATACATGTAACATCTGGAGTGACAAAGTGGTAGAGCTGTGTCAGCGGATATGCAGCATCATGTACTGTTACTGCTGATTTCACACTACAGTTGTATTCAGTTAGGACTGTACATTCACATCTTCAATATGTAACAGGAGCTAGGATAGGTGGAAGCTACGTCAGTGAAAATTCTGCTTCAGCGAGAACGTTTACAGCTACTAGACTAAAGTATGGAGGCGATGTTTAGAGGCTGTATGTTGGACGCCAACTGCTAGACAGGAGGATGTAGCTGAATCCACAGACTAAATTGGTGAATATGAAGTAATGTATATGCAGGCGGTATGTACACATTCACATGCACGTCAGCTGTATAGTTTCTGCTTCAGCAGATATGCTGCATCTTCAATTATGTTTACAGCCACCACACAACGTTGCTATGTAATTTACATGGAGAAATCGTTCACGCATTCACATGGACAACAGTTGCTGAGACAGTTGATGTAGTTGCGTCAGCAGATATTGTGCATGGAACATTTTACGACTATACTAACACTACAGATGCAACATCAGCAATGTAAAAATATTCAATGGACTCCAGTTTCTGAGACAGATGATGTATTTGCATCAGCAGATATGGTTCATCAGATAATGTGACGGCCATCATTACAGGTACAAGTAATAACAGCAATGTTAACATTCAATGGATACTAGTTGCTGAGACATCCTGCTTCAGCAGATATGGTGGCTAAAGCCACCAGCTGACAGTGGCAAGTAGTATACATATTACTTCGACTCTTGTAAACTGGTTGTACACATATCCTAAACCATCAGCTGCGATCAGGGGCTGATAATGCTGCCTCCACACCACATGTGTCAGTGACTAACGTTTAGCTTCCCATATGTAACAGAATCTGAGACAGGTGTTCCTACGTCAGCATACGTGCTCCATTGCCAACTGATGCTTTGTCACGTTTGTAGTGTGTAAGTAAAGCACCGAGTCACATACAAGTATAAACAACGATTACGTATACAACGGCTGTGTAATTGGTTTGTGATGGTATATCACATTTAATTAGGTTTAAACGTTCTTTAAGTTATTTGACTCTGTTTTAAATTATTAGTTATTATGTAGGCCTAGTGGTTACATTTAATACATTTGTGGTAATCTCTCTTGGTGAATCAATCGAAATATATTCATTAATCAGAAAATCTAGAAACAAACCTAGAAAATTATTCGTCCGTTGGGTTTTTTATACATTTACTTTCTTGAATGAACGGAATTAAATAACACGCATCTTACAAAAATTACAATCAAGCTAACTAATATTGATTTCAGTACATGTAAATTGAAATAGTCCACCAAAGAGTATTAGCATTACAGTTTATATTCACGAAACTTTACGTTGCCAGCATTTGTCAATGTTAATGACCAGATGTTTCAGTAGACGACAGACTGGGGTATGGTGCAGGTTCGTTGCTTGTACTATGTTTATAGTCAACAATTCTCTCTCTCTCTCTCTCCCCCTCTCTCTCTCTCTCTCTCTCTCTCCCACTACTTGCATCAGGCTTTGTCATAAATCTTTTGTTTCCCACCCACTCCTCCGACCAAAACTCGACACTAGGTTAAGCTTCCCGTTTACTGTTAGGATTTTGCGAGTTGACAACACTCAAACAATTATTGTTATGCAGCTTTGCTTTTACAACAATATTTTCGATTTGTTTTGTTTTAGGACGCTCGTTACCTATTTAATGTTTGTGCAGGATGGTTTGTTTACGGCATTCTGTTGTATATTATTGTTTAATAGAAACATTTATAATATGAAGGATATACTATATACGGTACGTCAAAACAGTTCATACTTACTTAATAATTTTAAAAGTTATAGCACATCTGCTATGTCATTTAAATAGATCATGATGTAATTCGGACATTTTTGTTTGTTTGCAGATTCCAGGGTTTTGGTGGAGAAAAAGGTAAGATTAAAAATATTTATTTAAATTATATACTATGATGTTTCATTTTATGGAAAATGCTTTAACAAAGGTACTCTATGTGACTAAACTAGCTTTACATTTAAGATTTGAAAAAAAATACTTAGCCTTGTTAAATTTTAATGGTGATTTAATCACATAACTCCATAAAACTAGTAGAATTTCATAAACTAATTAAGCCGAAAATTATGTCTATCCATAAATTGCAGTATACTAAGATTCTGGTGCATGAGATACATGAGCTTAACTGGCACATCCTCTTAAGTAAAATCCACAATAGTGATCATTATTTTAAATTTAGGGCAAATACAATATTTTACTAATGTGTTAGTAATTTGATCCAACCCAACGATCGTATGGATTTGTGGAATTCCAATCAAATGTCGACTTACAATGTGTAGAAGTTAATAATCAACTGTTAATAACCTTTAAAAAATATAAAATTTGCTTAAAATAAATTTATGATAAATAGTTTATTCAAAAATTATTATTTATTGAAATAACCACAAAAATGATAAATTTAACTTTTAAACCAATACCAACCTCTTTCTCTTACTAATGGTAAATAATTGCCTATTCTAGCAATATAGGTATACTAATGATATGGAACATATAGCCAATGAATTCAATAGAACTTCAACGGGTTACCGTGTTTTAGATAACTCTTTGAATGAAGTTTTTTAAAATACAAACACATGTCTATATTTTTTTTAAGAGGTTGGCTGCCTCTTTTAACCTTGCCCATCCACATATACTACAGATATGTGCGTGGAACGTATCCAGCAAAGCAAGGGGTGAGCCGTTACAGTACGAAGGTGAACTGTACTGATAAAATGTTTGCGGCAGTGACCAGGATTCAAACCCACATCACTGCCTTGGGGTCCGAAGTCCGTGACGCTACTAACTAAGCCACCGACTCACCAATTAATTTAATTTAAAACGTTTAAAAGTTTTCTCAGTTTAGGCTGGTAAAATGTATTACTATTTTTTATTAATCACTTATGGGGATTTACTGGGAAATGCACGATAACATGCATACACTAATGTGTGAATACACAGTCATGACTTATGTGTGCAATATAGTGGAGTATCTAGAGGTCATTGCCCTGTTCTTGTGTAACTCTGGAGACTAAGAGCTCTCCAGAATGTGACAATGAGATATCTCTGCGGAAGCTGTGCTATATCAGATAACCGTGTTTTTTTATATAGACACAAGCCACGTGCATTTAACCTAGCCTTAACCCAGGACCGATTTAATCTTTCGCTTTGATGTCTACAGAAACCAAAGACACCATCCGTTGAAATTTATATGTTTATTTATGCAACCATGGGCTTAAAAACACATACATCCAAGATGAAACGTAATTTACGTATAAGAGCATGAAATTATTTCTGATATATAACAACAACACGTTGAACCAATAGAAACCATACAACGAAACGCATGTTTCATCATAAATGTTGTTTAAAGTAGAGAAAATCCAGGCCAGCTGTTTTTTTTTTCACTAAAATTAGAGAATGAGTTTTTAATTCTAAAAAAATAAAGAACGTTTTTAAATATTTAATGAAAAGAATGCTCTACTGTAAACGATTTTCCTAATCTAATTTTTTTATATACCGTACTTGATTTGCTAACTCACAAAAAAAAATGACCCGACAATCTCTTTTTAGGCAATTTAAACGTCATTCATACGATATAATGCTAAAAGATCATAATACATTTCAACAGCAAAATCTTTCCATAAAGTATCTAATTTTTTTGTTCTAGGACGATTCCGGGAACGTTTTTTCACATTACTTCAGGCTAAACCTAGAGGTTGCGGCATTATCACATGGATAAAATCCATTGGTGATTTTGCAGAATTTGAACCCGGAACCTCAAGGACCGATGGCCCGAGCTCTAACCACTACACCAGCTCGCCCCCCCCCCCACAAAATATCTAATATGGAACATAGACTTACATCGTCTACATCAAGTATAACGAATAATTTATTGACAAACTCTCTATTACACAATCATGGTTAATGTAGTTGTACATAATACTTAATTAAAACTAAAACACTATTTTGTCGACAGAGGCTAGAAAATCTATAAATAAGGACAATAAAATGACACCTGATATAGAAAAAAATTCAAAATTATAATGACACAATTATATTAAATGATTAGGACCAATTTAGCTTTGTATAATGCTTGATTAAATCCAGAATGGTAGAGAGAGCGGAGGCTGTGCGATGTTACGACCCAGCCAGGCCCGGCGCAGCGCTTGCATCACAGCTGACTGTAAATCATTGTCTCCTCCGTCTAAATGTTAAACGATCTCGTTCTGACATCACGGTCAAGCCTGTTTCTACACAAATATAACTCTGCCGTCACTCAGGCGAAACTTTAGCCATACCGTCACTGACAACTGTCATCGGCACAAGAGAGTAAAAGCACTTTAGCCAAAACTATGGATCTAGTGTACATAATGACGATTAATAGCTCTTTTGGAAACGAAACGATAGCTTCGATGTCATGGAGATGACCTAGGTATAGCTCTACCCTACCTTAAATTCATGCAAAGTTAATGCTCTGATTTAATTCTTATGAAGTTAAGGTTCTGTGGTCCTTATTGTGACACTACAGCGCTGTTGTTATTCGGGTTAAACAATAGTCTTACTGTCACTCATATAATAATAGGAGGCAGGTGTCACTCATACGATAATAGGAGTCAGGTGTCACTGGTACAATACTATAGCTCTGATGCAATTTAAACAATACTATACAGGGTGTTTCCAAATTGTTTGAACATATTTTGTGAAATTGTTCCTTGGGCTAAGACAAACGTGTTTTAGCTAATTGTGGGTCTATAATGCCTAGATTTCTGTCTGTCATTCTGTTCATGATTTTTTTTTATTAATTTGTATCTTGGGAATGTTTCAGGATAGAAATTTCAAAATTGGTATAAATCTTAGTTTATGAGGTGAGAAACGCTTAAAAATGTTGTTACAATATCTCAAGTCGTTTCAATTCAAAATCTTCATTGTCAAATTTTATTAAACCCGTAAATATTAAGAAAGTTGTTTTACAATCAAAACTATAGAGAATGTAAATTTATATCAAATGAGAACTTGATTGTTAAAATCAGCTCACAAACAACCGGACTATAAGTTTTTTTTTTTACTTTCAATTACGCAATTTAATAGGACTACCATACTGCTCCTAAGTTAGGTTTATCATTAAAATGTAGAAAACGTAGTAAATAGATAATCTCTTCAAATGTAGGTTTAGGTATATATGAAATTCTGGAACATAATTCAAATAATGTCAGGACAGCAGACGATTGTGCATGAAACTGTAAACCCATAAAACAGTATAATTGTGAAATAGCCAGGACGCACATTAAAATTCCTCTTTAATTCACCTATGATGAGGACTCAATCTAGTTTCGTCCAGATTTGGCAGAACTAGCGATTGGATTTTTTCACTTGATGAGCGTCGACGTTTCGCTGCCAAAATCAGAATGAAACCGTGTCGGGTGTAATTGAGCTAACAGCTAGACCATTCCATCCAATTTGCAGTGCTGGTTTTTATTTGGAGGGAATGCAATTTTGTTCCAGCTGTAATTATGTGTTTTTATTGTAATGCCAATAACTGATGCATTTCGTATCTCTGAGGAGGACGGTTTGAAGATTGTATTATGTAAACAAAAATATCATGTGTCATGAAATTATTAATGTAATAAATCCCTAAAGTTGTTAACTAAAAAAATACCATTAAAATAAAAAGCCTATTGTAGGCCTACCTACAATCTGAGAATCATCAGTTTTGTAATACAAAATATAATGAATTATAAAACTTAAAACAATTTTCTTTGAATTCATTTAACACGTGTGAGTTGCTATAATACGTGGCAAACCTAGTATCATAGATAAAGAGTTATTTATTAAATAATAGATTTAGATAGAGTAGGTGCACTCTTTAATCCATGATGGTATCAATCAAGTGAATGCTTAAAACAAAAAAAAACTATATATATTTGACGTTATATTATGCTCCTTAGGTTCTCTTTGTATTTCATTCAACAAGGTAATCCAGCTTCTTTTAAAGACCTCTCGGATTATACAAAAAAATTATGTCATAAAATGTACATGTTAATGCTCCCAAACTAGGAAAATTAAATAATATTCTGCACAAGCCACTATAAAATCTAGAAATTTTAATAATTCACATACTTATTTATTATTCAATTCCTTCCTAACAAAATATAGTAATACGCAAGTATAGCAATACAAGTAGTTAAAAATGTTCGTCTACTTTCCTTAAATGTCACCTCATTGCAGTAGTACACTTCATTAACTTCTGCAACCTTTCTGCAAACCGGTAAGTGTTATAACCTGAAACCAGTCCGGTCGGTAACCGTGTCCGTGTGAAATACGCCCGGACGTGTAACCGCCACCCGCATCGGTAGACCGGTCCGGGCCTGCTATTAGTACCAGATTTTACACAACCAATTTAGGTTTCGATCTTTCTTCAGGCCGTACTACTGTGTATGGGAGTGTTCAACGAGATAGTAATCAACTTTTAAAATATTCAAACATGAGTAAACTCTAGTTAATTGAGTAAATTACATTGCGGAATTTACATCAGTTTGGTTGATGCTTTGACTATACTGCCCCCTGACTATACTGTCCCCCCTCCTGACTAAAATGCCCCCCCCCTGACTATACTGCCCCCCCACCAAGATGCTGTCACGACAATGAATCACCTCTATATCAGATATTTACACAACAATCGACACTGAATGCGTCTTGCGTAGGAAGATGACAACCAAAGATGAAAATCAAGCTGGAAATATATTCTTCACAATGGTCTTTATTACATATGACATACGTCATACCTTATGACAACAATAGGAGGTTAACGCATTTCTAAAATAAATTTATGGAGACCACCAAAAACATAGTATTTTAGAAAAGTGATTTGTATGAAATGAAAT